AATCCCTCAGGTGGCCTCACTCGTCCTTTCAATCATTTTTTGCTGTTGCAGCTCAGTGCGAGCCCACAGACTGCAGCTCAGTCCAGTCTCTGTCAGCTGGTGATCCACGGCTGAATTCAGGCCCTGCTCCCTCCCCTTTGCCCTGTCCATGACAGCACGCTGTGGTGCGACCTGTTGTGGGCCAGCAGCACGTGATGCTGAGCCCTTGCCACGGGTCCCTCAGCAGCTCTGATGGCCGATGTGCTCTGCAGGAGGATGGCCCTGCAGCAGCATCCCTCTTACTGAGGGACCGGGGCTGGGGCCAGGCTGGCTGCAAGGGCAGGCAGGTATTTCCTCTGGTGGCCAGGATGGGGGAGCCCCCATGGACCCAGGGTGAACACAGGGACCTTGCCTTGGCACACACCTTTGAGCCGCACAAGCTCCCCCGAGCGCCTGATTTACTTACCTCCACCTTCATTTTTATTTACTGTTTGCTAATCCTGTTAACGGAATGGGGAAAGAAAAGATTAATTCACTTTGACTCCAATGACTTGTTAATAATTGATGTATTGACAAGAGCAGGCTGCCCGATGACCTTAAACAGCCACCCAAATCCTGTGTCGAGCTGTTTGACCTTTTAAGCCAGTTCAGGTTCTTCCTGCAGAAGAAACCAGTGTCCGCTTTGATTTAGTGCAGGAAAATCCCCCTTAACCTTCAGGTGCCGGTGAGGATGTGTTTAATTTACAGTAAAGCCAAGTCATGATCACCAGGAGAATGAAAAAGTCCTTCTGTGGTGGGAAGTTATTACCACTCCCTCCACAGTGATGATCTCCCCAGCTCAACAAGCCAATACCTCTTTAATTATTGAAAGGAATCTTCAAGGGGAGGTTGGGGAGCCACCGGGCTGTGGAACAGCAGCCACAGTGTCGCCTTCTCTGGTGTGGGGACCGAGCAGGGTAGCCTGTGGCCATGGCTCTGCTCTAGGCTTCGGAACCTCCCCTCTGCGGAGAGACCACTACACTTCTCATGCGTGCCCTGGCCAGCATCTGCTGCTCTGGATTTGTCCTTTATGAGGGACAGAAGGTAGCTCATGACACAAAGCATCCCACTGAGCACGCCTCTCTGCAAGTGCAAGAACAGTTCAGGATCTGGACCTGGATGATCTTTAAGGTCCCTTCCAACCCAAACCATTCCATGATTCCATGATCCACCTTCAAATCCTAAGATCTCCATCAGTCCCATAGCGACACAGGAGGGGCAGACTCAGCCGTCAGGGACCTGCTCGGGGCACCTCGCCCTGACCTGCACCCACGTGTAGGTGCCCAGGACCACGGTGCCTGTGCGCAGAGCCGCGCTTCACCGCAGACGTGCCCTGTCCCAGGGTGCTCCCAGGCAGCAGCAGAAGCCCTGGCAGCCCATCTCCTCCCCTCCCCTCCACTGCTGCTCCCTCCTGCAGCTGCAGCATTGGCAGCGCCCGGCTGGTCCCTGGGGCGCTGGGGCTCTTTCCATGCAGGTGTCAGCCTCAGCCTCCTCTTGCTCCACAGAACCGGGGGCTGTGGGGAAGCTGCCCGCATGGTGCCAGGGCCGGGCTGCCCGGGCACAGCTCCTGTGACCCCTGCAGGTGATTGAACCTCCTTTAAACCACCCCGGGGTCAGCGGCTCAGTTCTTTGGGATGGATCCTGGGGTGCCCAGGGGATGGAGGGTGAGCAGGGAGTGCGCAGGAGGTGGCCTTGCTGTGGCCAAGCCCCTCGATCTGCTTCCGCAGCTCTGCCGGTGGGGACAGGCTGCAGAGAGGCTGCTCAGCAGTTATCAGTAGGAAGATGTGAGACTTCGCCAGGCTTCTTAATTAAGCCCCCATGTGGCCTCTTGGAGATTCATCACACAGCACTGAAAACTGCTCCCACCATCCTCACTCCCCTTGGAAGGGCAGGGAGCACCACGAGAGCCTTTGTTTAGGGGGTTTGGACCTCGATGTGTCAGCAGGAACCCGGAGCTGCGGAGATGCCCCGTGCATGTGATGTGCTGCTGTGCCGTAGGGCACCGGGGAGGGCACAGCAGCTGGGTCCCGCAGCAGGGATGTGGATTCATCCTGACTGGAGCCATTCTCTCAGCCACTGATGGAAACGACCATCCCTCCTTTTGCCTGCTCCCCCCGGGATAACGCCACTCTCCCATGCCTGCTCTTTTGTCCAGAGCCCTCACTGGGATGAGAGCCAGGTCCCTGGGGGACAGATGAGGTCCAGAGCTGGGGCCTCGCATGGGGGACCCTAGAGCCTCGTGGGGGGCACAAGAACAGGAGATACCCGAGGGTGTTAGTGCCTTGCACCCCCATGTCCGGCTCCTGCTGCACCCTGGCTTGTCCAGACGCCACTCTGAGCCCTGCAGCCCCTGCCCTGGCCCCTGCAGGGGCAGCCGGGTGGCACCGGAGCCTGGAGGAGCCGCTTTGTAGAGCCGTAGAAGCTCCTCCAGCACAGAGCCTGTGAGCTCATTTACATACTCCTGGTTTAATTCTCCTAGGGTATGCAAATATATGCAAACAGCAATCCAGAGAGAGTCAGAAATAGCACAGAACATTAAAATCACCCTACTTGAATATTGTTTTATGCAAACGATGTACGCACGCAGTGTGTAGCTGATTTAAATAGAAGCAATGTCAGCATGGCAGTTATTTACCCTTCCAATGATCTTAGCAATTTTTTTTATTAAACTTATATAAAATATATTGAACAGGCACCAAGAACGTAGAGAGTATTCTAATGTTAGCCTTAACTAACGCGAGGAAAAGGGCAAACTTTTCCAGCTGCCTGTGCACAAAGGGCACTTAAGTGTTATTTTTCCTCACTTGCCATTTGCATGGATGGTCTGTGATGTGCACACCCGGATGCTGCAGACACCGATCTGCTGGTGCCATTTCTGCCCTTGTGGTGGGAGCAGCCTGTGTTCCATGGAGGGACCCTTCCATGTGGGGCTGCTTCTGCCTCCACCCTGGCTCCTGCTCCCGTGCGGTGGGATCCTGGTCCATGTGAGCCCTGGGAGCTCACACCTGTGGAAGCCAAGGCTGGGAGGGCTGTTACTGACTTGCTGCTGGAGAAGCAAAGTGACACTTCCTTGTGATCCAGGAGGGCAGCCTCTGAGGTGACAGCACCCCCCAGAATGCACGTCCTCAAGGGGCTGATGCCCGTGGCTGGATGCAGCGCGCACAGGGCTGGTCCCTCCATGCCAGCGGGTCCCAGGGGCGCAGGTCTGCACACAGGGTGCTGTGTGGGGTTAGCACCACTCGGAAGGTCACACATCTCAGCTGAGATCCTTTTCAACTCTCCGACTGAACAGCCTTGGATGTAAATAACTCGTTTATAACCACGCCTACACATTGACCTGGCCACCTTGGCCAGGGATGCAACACCAGCTCTCCGCCTGCACTGGAAAATGATGCCTAAAGCCCCATCCGATGGCCTGGGAGCAATGCAAAGGCCCTGGGCACGCGGTGCCCCTTGTCAGGCCATGGGCACAGGCACCGGTGGGCAGTGAGCAATCCCCAGGTGAGTCCCAGGGTGTGACACAGGGGCACCCCCAAACGTCATGGGAAACTCATGTCCTGCCCTGAGGCTTGCCTTGCTCAGACATCCTCAATGGGCATCTCTCCCCAGAGCTGTGACCCTGGTCCCATGGGGCCACCCCAGGCTCTGTGGGGCACAGGGAGGATGTGGGGAGCTGGGGAGCGGGATGGGTGTGACCAGCCACAGCCCCCCCCAGCACTCCCCTGTGCATTCAATGGTGCTGACACCCAGACAAATGAGACATCTCCAGACACACGCTCGGCACCTGACCGCAGAGTAAATGAACGTAAAAAGGGAAAGAGGAAGGGGAGTGAATGGGAGGGAGGGAGAGCGTGAGCCAAGCGCGCCGTGCAGATGGCTCTATACATCATGCGACAGACACTATTTGTGCTCTATCATGTGCGTGTCATAGAGCTTATCTTCCCCGGCCCCGGCGAGGTGCGAGCCGAGCGGGGAGACGGAGCGGACTTTCCTCCTAATTAAACATCAAGGGCATGACGGATGAGCCCTGCGCCGGGCAGCACCCGGGCTCCGGGGGATGTGCTCGGGTGCCGGTGCTGCCGACCCTGGGAGATGCCACCAGCCCCTTGTGCACCCCCAGCCCAGGGACAGCGCTGGGCAGGGTCCTGCCAGACCCTCTCCTATGGGAGCATCCCCACAAGGTGAGGGCACGGCGCTGTGCCTGGGCGCTGGGGAGCCTGGGGGGTGTCGCTTGCTTCGTCCTCTGGAGATGCCCATCCGCCCCCTTCACCTGCAAACATGCCAAGGAAGCGTCTATCGACTGGGACCCCTCGAGGGCAGAGGAGGTGGATCTGACACTGCTCCTGACACCCGCAGCCTCCTGCCCAGCGAGCCCTTACCCCTCACCAGAGATGCCCCCAGCTCTGCTGCAGCAACCAGAGGCCTTTCCCATGCTGACAGGTCATGGGGGGGCACTGAGTTCTATCTAGGGCTTTTGCTCGATGTTTCTGCAGCGCAGTAAATGCTCCTGAAGTCCTTTGCTCAGATAAGGCTCCTGCCAGGTGCCTCCACACGTGAGGCTGCACGGCTGAAGACAAGAGTGGGCACAAAATGCCTTTTGTTTGCTCCAGTTTGTTTTCAGCATTACCGTGCCGGTCCCAGGCTGTCTGAGGGGCTCTGCCTGCAGAGGAAATGACGGCACAGAGCAGTTTTTCAATCAAGCTCACAGTTCCAGCACTGTTCCTGTTGAGTTTCGGTTCTGCCTCTGAAGCCCCATCCCCACAGAGGCAGTTAAACCTCTAGGTTTTAAATACATTTAGAACAAACCCTCTCTGAAGGCAGCGAGTGCATTACCCTGCCTCTGTGCAGGTCTGAAGGGGAGCATGGGGCTGGACATCACATTGTGGTGCCTGTGGCCGCCCTGGACATGCAGCTCCCTGGTGCGAGCCGGACCCAGTGCTCTGCTCTCCAAACCCCACTCACCGCAGCAGCAAGAGTCATGGCAGCACCGAATCCCCCCTCAGGGGATGTGGAGGCTGGAAGAGCCCCCAGGAGAAACACGGGAAGCAGCTTTCCCCTCTGCCGGGGCTGTCAGTGTTGATGCAGGAGCTGCCTGTCCATTATGTCTGCAAGCGCAGGGAATTACTGTCAGCTGTGTTAGACAAGCACTGCCGTGTCGTGCTAGTGCCTAACTCACAGCTTACACACCGCCTTTTTATCCTCTGTTGGTATTTGGTGTCCTGTTTAGATGTGCATTCACTGGAGCTGGGTGCCTGCACACTGGAAGCAGTATTTAAACAGCAGCAGCTCCCATCGCAAGGCTTGGCTCTCGGGTGTGTTAGAGCAGAGCAGAACAAAACTGATTGGAGTGGAGGAGATTTTCTTTGTCATCCCGCAGCATCCTGGGGTAAGAGAAGAGTCTGGTTGGTGCTGAAACAAACCCTGGATGTGTAAGGGAATTCGCCTGGTGAGGGTGGAATTGCTGCTGGCAGGGGGTCCTGCGTCTGTGCCTCCCTTACAGCTCACGTCAGCCTCGGGGCCCTTCGCTGGGTCCCTGCCCAGAAACAATTTTCTCCTTACCAGGCTGTGGTCGGGAGGGAACCGCTCCTGGGAAGCTGGTGCGCGGCTGCGGGCTGCTGCATCCCAGCCCCGGCTGCATTCCTGGCCGCATTCCTGGGCTGCTCTGCTGGGGGGGGAGAGGGAGGCTGCAGCTTTGGCAGCTGGTGTCATGCTCCCAGTGTCTTATTTTAAACCCTTTTGGGGGTGGAAGCTTCACTGCCTACTGCTGGTACTTCTCCCATCACATTCCAGATTAGTGGCTTCCTGACTGGCAAGGTGGGAAGCATCTCCTGTACGAAGGGCTGCTGTCAGGCCCCTGCAGTCTGGTATTGTGCCACATCTGCCCTCACCGGGTACCTCAGCAGTGCCTCCAGCCCCGTTCCCATGGGAATGCCGATGGGGCAGTGGGTACCAGAATCAAGCATAACCCTCCCTGCCCAGGGCAGCCCCAGGAGCCCACCTACACCCCAGGTCTGTGCCCTACAAGTGTGACTAAACAGCTCAGGTCCAGGGCATCACGGGGAAAGAGCAGTGTCTCCAGGAGACCCACAACAGCAGTTACCCGTGTAGATGCCGGTGGTTTTATCACTCGGAGCCTTTGGAGTGGTTTTCAGCTGGGACCCGGTGTTTATTCAGGGAGATCCTTGCTGCCGCGACCTTCCTGAACTGCCACATTCCTTTTAATTATGATTGGCAGCCCATGGAAATTCGGGCCCTTGATTGGCAGCTGAAGTAACTTTCTTCCTTCCCACAATTCTTCAGGTTCCTTCCCATCAATAGACATAATGTTGGCTACTTTTCTGGGATAAATAGCAACCTTTGCCCCCCTCCTTTATTTGGCAAACGCTCAACACTTCATTCTTTTCAGAAAGCCCCTTGGAATGCAGTTGAGAAGGGCCTCAGCAGTGCTGCCCTCCTCCTCCTCCCCATCCTCCTCCTCCTCCTCCCTCTCCTCCCCATCCTCCTCCTCCTCCTCCCGCCGCTCCTCAGCGCCTGGCCGGGGGACTTTTGTGCGAGAGCAAACAAAGGCTCATTGGCAACACTTCTGGATTTCATTTCAAAATACATTTGTCACTCCGGAATAAAATAAACGGAATTTTCTGCTGTTTTTTTTCTTGCTTGACTCCTCCCTCAGGTTTCTTGCGAGCAGCTCCGGTACTGAGATTGCTGGACAAAGATTTCCAAAGAGTAAATGGCAGCGGATGCTTGCTCCAGGGCTGCTTCCCTTCGTGGCTGTTCTGCAAAGGGGCTTCCATGCACAGCAGCTCCATGCAGCAATGCAGTTAGCATGCCTTCCCAGTGCAGTTAGCATGTCCCCCCAGTGCAGTTAGCATGTCCCCCCAGTGCTTTTAGCATGTCCCCGCAGTGCAGTTAGCATGTCCCCGCAGTGCAGTTAGCATGTCCCCCCAGTGCAGTTAGCATGTCCCCCCAGTGCAGTTAGCATGTCCTCCCAGTGCAGTTAGCATGTCCTCCCAGTGCAGTTAGCATGTCCTCCCAGTGCTGTTAGCATGTCCCCCCAGTGCAGTTAGCATGTCCTCCCAGTGCAGTTAGCATGTCCCCCCAGTGCAGTTAGCATGTCCTCCCAGTGCTGTTAGCATGTCCCCCCAGTGCAGTTAGCATGTCCCCCCAGTGCAGTTAGCATGTCCCCCCAGTGCAGTTAGCATGTCCTCCCAGTGCTGTTAGCATGTCCCCCCCAGTGCAGTTAGCATGTCTTCCCAGTGCTGTTAGCATGTCCCCCCAGTGCAGTTTGCATGTCCCCCCAGTGCAGTTAGCATGTCCCCGCAGTGCAGTTAGCATGTCCCCCCAGTGCAGTTAGCATGTCCCCCCAGTGCAGTTAGCATGTCCTCCCAGTGCAGTTAGCATGTCCCCCCCAGTGCAGTTAGCATGTCCCCCCAGTGCAGTTAGCATGTCCCCCCAGTGCAGTTAGCATGTCCCTCCAGTGCAGTTAGCATGTCCCCCCAGTGCAGTTAGCATGTCCTCCCAGTGCAGTTAGCATGTCCCCCCAGTGCAGTTAGCATGTCCACCCTGTGCTCCTCCTTCTCCCTGCTGAAAACCCAGGCTGCTCCTATGACCTTCTCCCTATGGATGCGGTTCTGAGCTCAACCAGCACCCATCAACCCCCAACCCAATAGAAACTTTTACCTCTTAAGGTACTTTTCCAAAACCACCCGAGTGCTGCAGTGGCTCAAGCCACAGCCAAGCACTGACTTGGTTCACAGGGCCTCAATGTCAGCGATTGTCAAGAACAAGGTCATTTTTGACCATGGGACTTGGGCTCGGAGTTCCTGGAGCTGCCCTCAGGAAGGGCTGTCCGTGCCCTGGGGTGTTCCTCAGGGGTGTCTGCCAGGGCACGGAGCTGGGTGCCAGGCCTGAAGCTGTCATGGGCAGTGCTCGCCACCACTCTCCCAGTGTGTCAGTAAAGAAATGAAGCTTGGCCCCGGCTCCTCAGCGCTTCTTGTGCTCAACAATAGGCAGAGACAGAAGGATTTGAAAAGTGATGAAGAAAATACTTGAAGGTTGTATTTTAAAGGAAATGAGGAAGCTCCCGAGCTGCAGAAATTGCTTGTGTGCACAATAGAGACATTCACCCCTCTCCATCAGCCCCAAGCTGAAAGTGTTTTAAAGAGAGATGATAGACCTCGACACTTTCTGCTTCTCAAGAGCAGGGTGGATGAGGAGACAATTAGCAAAACGCAGCAGCATTTGCATTTGCAGGAATCCTTGACGGATCCTGACCCTCTGCTGGAGGAAAAGGGGGGTGGAAGAGGCAGCCTCGCGGGGTGAGCCCCGAGAGCGCAAGGTCCCTTCTGGAAATGCCAGGCATGTGTTTTAGCACGGAGCAGCCCAGATACCGCCTCCGTACAAGACAGTCACAAAAACTTGTGAGGATTTGCTCCTTCACAAGCTCTCCGTGGCTCTTTCCTGGTGAATCCACATCCATCAGACTCTCGGTGAACTTCTAAGCGCCCGCCTTGATTGCCTCTCTTTGTTCTGTGCTGTTCGCCATTAAAACCCATAAAGCCGATTGTCCGTTTACCGCGGGCTGCGCAGCTCAAGGAGGGCTGGTGAGCAGTCGGGTTCCGCGGGTTCTGCCTGCTGGAGACCCGCGCTGCTGCAGGGCGGGCAGGATGCGGGATACGGGCGGCCGTGGGGCTGCAGCCGCTGTTTGCAGGACTCGGGGCTGTGGGCGCTCCCTCTTGCCACATCTCCCCTCACCACACACAGACCGACCATGCTCAAATTCACAGGAGAGGAAAGCCACGGAGCAGCCGGAGGGGCCCGTGCGCTGTTAGTGGAGATGCATCTTCCCCTGTTGCTGCTTGCAGCTTGCAGGAACTGTGGAGAACCGCAGGGACAGGAACCAAAAGGGGCTCTGCATCCTCCCCCCCCCCACCGCAGGGCTTGGTCCAGCCCCCCCGTTCCAAACCTAAATCCAGCCCCAGGTGTCCCGTTTTGCTGTTCCCCGTTTGCCAACCTCACCCTGCACGGAAAGAAGAAATCCGGGGGGATGAGGTGTCTGAGTGCGGCCATCCAGCCCCGGCAGCCCTCTCCACAGCCCCACAGGCACCGGTGGCTTGGGAACAGGCCCTTGTTTCTTGTGAGCTTGTCTCTCACCGTCTGCTGAGACCATCACCATTTGGCACTGAGCTCTGCCAAAGGTCTTCCATGGCTGGGACAGTTGGTAAGAGCCTCCACTGGTGCCTGTACTCTGTGTGGTGATGGGTGAGCCCAGCCCTGGGCGCCCCATGCAGGAGCCCTCCCTCATGGAACAGCGAGGAATGTCATTGTCCCACACTTCTGCCAGATTTGGTTGAGATCTGTCAGGAGATTAGGAAGTTATTACAGCAGACATGTAGCCAGCTAGAGACAGCATGGACAGCCCAATCACAGCAATTGCATTTCATTAGAGACTGAGCTAAATCCGTGCTGGATCTTATCCACCTCTCCCCACAGCCCTGGTTCGCTCCCCCTTTCCATGTCTATGCTCACTGGACAGACTGGTTTCAATAAACCGGAGATGCCAGAGGTGCTCTGAGCCTGTCACTGGGTGAGAGGGACAGTGCAAAAAAGAATGAAGAGATGATGATTCTGGGGGCCTGCACATCCTGCTTGGTTTGAAGGGGAGAAGGAAGCTGGATCCGTGGCTGGAGGGGTTCACTGGGCTGCTCCTCAAACGGGGCTTTTTATCTGCAAGGAAAAGGTGTGAATTCTGTGGTAGGGCCAGGATGTGTCTGGGTTTGTGCTACCACGGTGCTGAGCAGAGGGCTGTGGGTCAGACCTGTGCACACACCGGGGTCCTGGAGTCGGGCAGGATAAACACCAAGGTGCATAGAGCCACTGCCTCACATCCGAGCGGGCAGGGCAGTTTTGGTGCAGCGAGTCGGAGAAAGGATGGGCTGGTCCTGGGGAGAAGCAGAGCAGGGTTGGTGTCAGTGAGGAGAATGGGATGGGTGGTGTTTGTGTGAGGAAAGAATTCCTTGCAAAGAGACAGAGACCAAGAAGAACAGAGCTGGTGCTGGCCCGTGGTGTCCCTGCGCAGGCAGCAGGATGGGTCCCCCATCCCTCCGGGCAGCTGTGCTGGAAGGGGCTGGGGAAGGTGAGAGGCAGGGGAGGAGGAGGAGGGTTTGTATTCTGGCACTGGCCAACACTCCCAGCTGTGGAGTGCTCCCTCTGTGCTGGGGACTGCTTAACATGGAGCTAAAAATACTCCTTATCCCAGAAAGCTTGTTAGTAGAGCTGGGTCACAACAGATGGATACAGACGGGTGGGGAGAAGAGGAAACAACAAGGCAATACCAGTAGCATGATGTGCGCTCGCTAAAGCACAGCAGCAGCCTTGCTGTGCAGGCAGCAGAGAATCTCGAGGAGCGTTTTGGTTCCTTTGGGATGCTCACAGGTTGTTCGTCTGAAGCATGACAGCCAGCATGAGACAACACACTTGTTTGGAAACCCGGGAAATGGTTGATGAGAAAAGGAGCACTTGTCTGTTCCTGGTTCTGTGCGGACAACAAACATGCTCCAGCATGAGTTGGGAGCAAGCAGGCTCTGGCTGAGAGCTGGGCAGCCCTGTCCCATGCCATCCCATCCAATGCCATCCCATCCAATGCCATCCCATTCCATGCCATGCCATGCCATGCCATGCCATCCCATTCCATGCCATGCCATGCCATGCCATGCCATCCCATCCAATGCCATCCCATCCAATGCCATCCCATTCCATGCCATGCCATGCCATGCCATGCCATGCCATGCCATCCCATCCCATCCAATGCCATCCAATGCCATCCAATGCCATGCCATGCCATGCCATCCCATCCGATGCCATCCCATGCCATCTAACCTGTCCCACCCTCGATGGTCCTGCTTGCCGTCACCCTGTCCCATTCTCTTTCCAGGCAGGGGGTGGGTGACCTCCAGTCCCAGCAGCTCGGATCTTGGACAGGGATTTGCCAAGGGCTGGTGTGGGTGGGAGCCAGGCTGCAGCAAGCCCCTGGCAGCTCGCGCCGCGGCACAGGCAGCACGCCTTGATGTGCTGTATATTAAGTGGAGTGGCAGCTGCGATATTGCCATCTAAAACTAAGTGCAAAATTTACAGCAGTAAATTCTTCTCTCTTCAGGGTGGTTAATTATCTTAATTACTTTTATTATCTTTTATCTTTTAAGATCCTAAATTGCTTATTTCTGCTTGTGTTGCCAAAGGGGGTTGCATATTTTTTGCTG